CGGCCCGGCCGCTCCGCTGCGCTGCTGCCGCCGCAGCCCCTCACGGCCCCGGCGCTGCTCGGGCCCTCCCCCGTCCCTCCCTCGGCTCCGGCGGAAGGGCGGGCGGCACCTCCGGGGCGGGACCGAGCCCGGAAGGAAGCGGGGCCCGGCCGGGCTGGGCGGAGCGGCGGCCGCGGGCTGAGGGTGAGCGGGGCTGGCGCACGGCCGGGCTGTGCTGTGAAGGCACCCACACCCCCTCTCCTTTGCTTTTTCTTATCAAAAAAGCTGGTTTTGGTAGTTTTATTTTTGTTACCGAGGCCTCCCATCGTGGTGAATTCCCACCCTGCAGCCGCTCCTCAGGGCTCCGGGGCCCGGCCCTGCTCCCACACGAGCACCCAGGGCTGCCTTGGGGGAATATAAAAATACCCGCTGCTACTTCAAGCTCCTTTTTCCGTGCTCAGTTATACAGTATTGAGTGCTGGTTTCCATCTCTTTTTTTCCCCCTTTTTTTCTCAGCACGAACATCCCACTGTGAGACAGGGAGTGCTTCAGCCGGACAGATGGACAGAAGGAAATCACTTCAGAACAAGAGAAATTCTTCTGAACAGAGGCAGAAAGGTTCTTTGTGAGCACTGCAGAAGCAGGAGCAGCTGCTGTGTCGGTGACAGGAATGGGATCGGTCATTGCAATGATCTATCCCAGCCGGTGTCCCCTGCTCAGGAAGGGATGATGAACACCCCAGTGCCATTCAAACAGCCCGGGACACACTTCCCTGCCTTCATTTTCATTTGCAGTCAGGCAAAGCACACTCACATCCCAGGGAAGGTGAGGAAAAGCACTGCAGTGGCTGCGGATCAGATGAGCCAGAATTCCAAGTTTTCAGTATCGTAATCTTTTATTGCACAACACAACCCTTATATCCACATTTTCTATGTGTTTTAAATAAAAAACATACAGATTATATATTACCTGAACTGAAAAGTCCAAAGTATTAAGAAATAATACACTGCAGTACTCACAGTATTGAACATCACACATCAACATAATTATTAACAAAACACATTTGGAGATAATTCCAAACCCTGATCGTTAGCATCCAGGCTGGATTTTCAAAGGCATTACGGGTTACAATGCATAGACACATACAATTTATAATTCAGCAAAACAAAATCCATTTATAAAAGTCACAGTGAAAGTGGAGGTAAACTTATACTAAGCTCGTGTAAGTAAAATGACCATGAACTGCTGTTCTGGAAGGTGATTTCCAGTTAGAGAATTATATACAGGAGACAGAATTATCCTCTGAAATCAGCTTATTTGCAGAAACATAATGAAAGACTGGAGCTTTGTTGTTTTGTTTTGTGGTTTTTTTTTTTTCATAGCCCAAAATTTAGAACTATCTTGGGTCCTCTTCAGGGCTCAGTAATAGCAACCACAACTTAAAGCCAGTGGGGTCTACAAAGTGTCCAGGGTAAAGCAGTCATTAAAAGATGTTCAATAAATCTGTCCCAGAGTTTGGAATGCATTAAGGGATCATTTTTTTGTGGTGTCTGCTCTGAAGTCTCCCCTTACCTGCCAGGCAGTTTTTCCCCAAGTGAGCACTCTGCTTTGCCATGCAGAAAATAGAAAATGTCACAGAAAACAAGAAAATGTCACAGAGAAGCTGTGACATCGAGGTGCTGCAAACCAGATCCCAGCAGTGTGGCCCTGTAGACTCACTTGTCACTCTGCAATCCACAGCCCTGGGTGTTCTCACCCTTTTGTCTCCCAGAACCACAACTCCATGGATTTACACACAGATGGGGGGATGTTCTGTGCCCCAAAAACCAAGAGCAGAATGCAAACACAAAGAGCAGCTCTGCAGTGGGAACAAGCAGCTCTGACAGGAATTCTTCCCTGCTGCCACTTCCATTATCCCCCTCATCACGTCCCCTGTCATCTCCAAACAATGAGCAGTGAGGATGAAGATACAAAACCTTTAATTATATCAGTAATTAGCTTTTTAGAGGGAAAAAAACCAATTGATCCCTCATTGTAGGTTAAAATAAAAATAAAAATCCAGCACATGCCCCACAAGGAGCACAGAGGATCTGTTTATGGCACAAAGGCTTCCCAGGCCAAAGCTGGCAGCACCTTCCCTTTCCTCTGAGGAGGATGGGAGGTCAGCAAGGAATATTTCAGATTCCTGTGCAGAACACTGGGCATTCAAGTTAAAAGTCTATACCAAGTCCAAAATTATTTTTAGATTTTTTTTTAAACTCTTGAGCTCAGCAGCCATTAAGTGGCTGCTGTACATAAACACCTTTTCATGTCATTTTTGAGTGCTTCATAAGGATAATTTTCCTTCTTCTTATTTTCCTATTATTATTATTATTTTCTTGTTTTTTCCCCTTCCTATTTCACAAGCATAAACCAGATGCAGAAACATTTCATGTGCCAAACTCACTTCATATGAGAGCTCCCTTTGTTCCCTGATAAAAACCTCTCCACAATGGATATAAAGGGAATGTTAAAAAAAAATGGCCTTGTCATGTTTTTGTTCACACACAGCAATGTAAAAAATAGTTGACAATTCTAATTTTAAATAAATATCCCTCAACTGTCCCAGCATTCATCCAATATTCAAATGGACAGGAGACAATTTACTGCTCACAAACACAGGGATTTGGGAGTGTGAGGGTGGAAAAGTGGAGGTTGGGTAGAGGATAAAGTGGCAAAAAAGCTAAGGGAGCACAGAAAAATGTGGATTAGCAAAACTCTGACGTGCCCAGATGTAAAGAAAAGTCCTAAAGGAAATGGAAAAAAAAAAGAAAGAAAAAAAAAAAAGAAAAAGGAAAAAAAAATCAGTATTCCATAGTTTAATGATACAATTCTATACAAAAATCCTCAGTCCTCTCAAACATGGATTTTAGCAGATCAGCCACTCCCATTTTTGTTGCAAATGTAGAATTTCAAAAGCTCCAGGCCCAGAAAAGAGAATCAATGACGTTCCACAGCCCAGTTTTAGATCACACTCCCCTGCCATCCACCTGCACAATTCTTCTGCTTCTGGCAAAAAAATGAGCACAGGCTGGGCAAGAGCAGCTAAATCATTGTAAACAAAGACTGCTTGGAACAATTAAAATATTGTTAACCTGAACAAATCACAAATCCCAGCGCTAATTAAAACCTGTGGGCTTAAATTCATGTTTTCCTTCCCAGTATTGCACTTAATGTCTTCAGGAGGATGAGAACTTTGATTAAGACAGCTGATACAGACCAAGCTTTTCATTTTCTCTTTTTGGCTGGTTGCCTTCCTTAATTGTTTAAGCAATGAACAGGAAAAAGTTACAAAATCCAAAATATTAAGGAGTAACAAAATGACTGAAACAGGAATTTTGTCATCACAGCTTCTCCTGAATAACAGCAGGGAAATTCCTAAAGCCAAAGCAGAAAACACACAGTAAAAATCAAATTGTGATCCATTCCTGCAAAGAGTGCTGGAATTTCAACATTTACAGAGTTCTGTAAATACAATTATGGGAAGTGGTAAAAAAACCCACTGAGAATTCCAGTAAAACTGCAGTTCTCATTGTAATCTGAAATTGTAAATATCTGTAATTCTGAACATCTGAAATATCTATAATTCTGAATATCTGTAATTCTGAACATCTGAAAATCCCAAATTTAAATAACTGAAGTGCACAAGCAGCCAAAACTTTGTAAGGCTCAGCTTTAAGGTGTTCTTTAATTTTCTAAGAAATTGTGGTTTGCAGTTTAGAATCCTTGGGAAGAAAGAAAAAATGAAGGCAGCAAAGCAGCAAAGAAACCAAGCAGAACTTCCTCTCCTTGCAGGGAAACTTCAGTCTCAGTTTAATTTTTAATTCTGGGTTGCCAAACAGAACTCCAAGAACCTGTAACACCAAGGCCATTATTTCAGGAAACAATTGAAACTTAAATTTAGATCCAAATGTGCAGAACTCCCTCTATGCAAATTTCTCCCTGCCCTTGCAACTCGGCACTTGACAATGATCTGTGCAGGGATTGCAGAGCTCACCTCAGAGAGACAATTCCATTCCTAAATTAAATATCTAAAAGGGTGACAAGGCAAAAAAAAAAGTCTCTTTCTTTGCAAGACAATTTGATCCTTAAGTTCTTGGAGTTATTTTTAAAATTGTCTTAGAAAACAGAGAATTTTGATCACTGTCATTAATGTTTCTGAAGAGTTTTGGTCAGAAGTTTAATGAAGCAATAGCTATGGATTAATTAATCCAATGGAATGCAATATACAAATATTTACTTTTCTTTCTCTTTAAGATTATTTGGAAGCCCCTTCAAGGAGGTTGGGGTTTTCTGTACCTCACAAAACAATAAGATTTGCAGACTTTTCTCCCTCTCAGTTTTGGGCTGAATTCAGTAGCTGAAATTTGGGATGTGGTTGCTCATGTCAGAAGTACAAAAATGACCTTCTGAAGAAAATCTGATTCTGCAGTGCTGCCTCTTCCAGCATGGAAAGGAATTTCCTACTGCTTTAGAGTGGAGAAGTATCTGCATATGAAGTTTGAATTTTGTTTTTCCTTCTATGACACCAAGAAGGGTCAAGAAGAAAGGTAAAATTAAGATTTAATTGTCTGAAAAAGGTGAGGTGAAGGAAGCACTTGTCTAATATCATCTGACTTTAAGTCTAAAATAAAGTTTAATATCACAGAATGTAAAAAGAGTCAGTAATAAAATAATATACATTAAATATTCCTCTTACTACTGCTGATAGGAAGATACAGACAGGGTTTTCTCATTTACCAAAAGCCTTTGCAAATGACCTGATTCTAAAGAGCTTTTTTTTTGTAGATATTGTAAACATTTAAAATTTCTAAGGCTAAAAACAGGCACAAGTCTTCCATGAACAGTTATTATTCCTAAAAGCATTAAGGAATATATTCCAGATCTGCTATTCCTTTTGATAACAACAGAAATAATTGAAGTACAACATTATAATTCACAACATAGATTCTTAATTTAAAAAGAAATACAGCTTAATCCTGACAACAATTAATAATATATAAGGAATATTCCTTTTTTTTTTAGTTATCTAGTACATCAAAATGACATTTCCAGATCTTTGTGCTGGGTGTGACTCAAACTTTATAAAGCTGAAGGAGGAACTAAAACATTTCTAAGAGGGTAAAACTGAAATGTCAGCTTTAGTAGCACCCCAGATTGCCAAAAATGCAGGAAAAATCTGCAATTCCATCCTGAAGCCACGTGGTTGGTGGCACCTTTCAGCAGATGTTCAGCCACTCCCCTCCACCCTTTGCATGAGGTGATTTTGTTTTGTGCCTCGTTAAGGTACCTGAGCCAACAGTCTGATTTCAGGCTGGTTTTTCAAGTTTCCAGAGGTGTTCCCAACCCCTGCCAGCAGGCTGATCCCAGGGAATGTGAGCAGCAAGGCAACTGCCAAGAACATTTGTCCTTCAGGAGTCCTCTCACCCCTCGATGTGCCACCACAGCCACCACAAAGTGACCTTGAAAGAATTTGTCCTCTAGGAGTGCTTTCACCCCTTGCTGTGCCACCACTCTCACCACCAGGCGATCTTGAAAGAACATTTGTCCTCTAGAAGTCTTTCACCTCTTGCTGTGCCACCACACTCACCACAAGGTGACCTTGAAAGAAGATTTGTCCTCTAGGAGTGCTTTCACCCCTCGATGTGCCACCACAACTCACTACCAGGCAATCTTGAAAGAACATTTATCCTTTAGCAGTCCTTTCACCCCTCGATGTGCCACCACACCACCAGATGATCCTGAAAGAACATTTGTCCTTTCACCCCTCGATGTGCCACCACACTCACCACAAGGCAACCTTGAAAGAACATTTGTCCTCTGGGAGTCCTTTCACCCCTCGATGTGCCACCACACTCACCAGCAGGCGACCTTGAAAGCACACTTGTCCTCTGGGAGCCCTTTGGCCCTTTGCTTGGCTCACCACCAGGTGATCTTGAACTCGTAGATGGGGCGCTTGCAGTAGTAGTGGTTGATGAGGTGCTTGTCGCACACGCCGATGCACTGGTGGTCCACGGTGATGCCGCGCGCGGACAGGTCGGTGACGATGCAGTGCAGCAGGTCGTAGACGTCGGCCACGGCCTCCCAGGGCCCGAAGGACACGTCCACCTCGCAGTGGTGCTCAAAGAGCTTGGTCTCGCTCTCGCTGCGCTCGAAGCGCAGGGAGTTGAAGTGGGGGCACTCGTAGGGAGTGATGGGCATCTCCTCCTTGAAGACGCACACCTTCAGCTTGGCAAAGCGCGCCTTCCTCTGCATGGCTCGCAGCTTGGCTATCTCGATGATCCGCTCCAAGTGGTCTGGAAAAGAGGCAGGTTGAGGGTCCCGACCACGGCCAAGGAAAGGGATCAGAAGCAATCACTGCACGTGAAACGTTTCACTGCAGCTTTCTCAGCATGATAATAGCAGCAGGCAGCAAATCAGTCTCAATTATCTGGTGAGCTTGGTGGCCTTATCACATTAAATATACATATTAATTAATATATTACATAATTTATATATATTGTATTTTTATATTATATAATAAAATATAATAATTATGTAATAAATTATATTATATGTTATATGATATATATAATAATTATATAATAAATTAAATTATATGTTATATGATATATATAATAAAATATAGAATAGTCAAATCAGTCTTGGTTATCTGGTGAGCTTGGTGGCCTTATAATATAAAATATATATATGAATTAATATATAAGTACATAATGCATTATATTTTATATATTACATAATTACATATAGAATAACTATATATAATAAAATTCTATATAATATTATATATATTATATAATATACATAAAATAAGATACAGAATAAACAAATCAATCTCAGTTATCTGGTGAGCTTGGTGGCCTTATTATATTAAAAATATATAAATTAATATATTTATAATTGATATATATAATATATATTATATATAATTATATAATATATAGAATAATCAAATCAATCTTCATTATCTGATGAGCCTGGTGGCCTTATTACATGCCCAAGTTATCTGGCCTCACTACAAGGCCAAGTTCATCCACCTGCAAGTCCTGACAGAACAAATGCAGACAAACCCTCTCATTTAATAACATTATGGCCTAACTTTGCTCCCTTTTAAGCACCCAAACCCACACCCTGGGATGCAGCAGGATGTGGAAACCTCAAAGATCCAAACAGCACAAAAAATACAGAATAAAATTCCCAGCTGCAATGGGATCAGTCTGGGAGCTGAGAGCAGACTGAAAGCACCAGGTTTAACACTGTAGTCCCACTAGAAGAAACAGTCAGTGCTACTTTGTTTATTTACCTTTGTAATATGGCATTAGGCCCAGGAAAGCTTGTCTAACTTTTTCTCCTTTAAGAGGCTGGATATCCTCTAGATTGTCTAGCAAGGGTCCTATGGAATAATACTGAGCTTCCTTGTACACTGACCTCACTCGCTCTCGGGGGGGCAGCTCACCAGATCGTAGGAAGTTTAGTATGTCTCTGAAAAAAAAAAGGCAAAAATATCATTAACAAACACATTTCTGCCAAAACTGCTGCAGGTGGGAAAGGACAGGAAATGCTGGATATTCATTGTTTGCTCTACTGAGACAGTAACTGGAATAAATGAGCCTCATTCCAAACATTTGTTTGAAAAACTGTTTGCCACGTTCAGGTTTCCAAGCCATTATTTCACATTTTGCCTCAGCTGATGTCAAAACTCATTTGAAAAAATATCAGTGTATTTTAAACCAAACATTTATTGTGGAGGAAACCATTTACAACACTGAAGAGGCCAGAGTGTTTCATGGGAAAGAAATTGTGGTCACCGCATTTCAAATTTAGGTCTGGGACAAAATAAACTTTTGCATTTTCCCAGAGAATCATTTTCATGGACATTTTACTCCACACAGATCCAGCTGAATGCATGGGACATCTGCAAAGGAGGTTTCTCATCACAGATCAGGGCCATTTACAGAATAATAATCAGAACTTTTAAAAAGAGAGAGAACACTTCCTTGTAGTTCTAAAACACTGTTCAGCAACAGGATCTTTTGACAGAGAGAGAAATCACTTTATAACTATTAACTAACCAACAAAACCTTATCAAATAAACCAAAGAAATCACTTTGTAAGTGTTAACTAAGAAAACCTTATCAAATTAAAGAAGCATTACTGCAATCTTAGAATGACAACAAATAGAGCACCTGCTAACCTGGCTCTCTGTTCCAGCTGTATTTTCAACTGAGGTTGATAACATCACAAATTAATTGATTTTCCAACATGTAAAGACACAATTGTTTTAGAATAAATACAGTGGCTTAATCTGTCTCTGTCCCAGATTATGGTACAACCCAAAAGTGATTTGAAAATAATTCAATGCTCCTCTGTTGAAGGCAATAAGGAAATGTCTATAAAGGAGCAACACAAAATTTGGGACAAATTGCAATATGTGCTTTGGGTAAAGACCTGAACCCATGAACACTGATCACCTTTTTTAGTAATCTCACCCCAATCCAAACAGAGTATTAGTAATAATGGTTAGTTTAATTAAAAATAAAATAAAAGCTGAGCACTTAGGAGGGATCCTGGAGGTGAAGGAATATGGCACTACCAACAAAAATAAATTAGGAAAAGAAATTCTTTAAAGGCTTGTGCTTTGTTGTAGCAGTTATATTCTGCTTAAAGATTAAAAACATTGTATTTCCAACTGTGTGAGAATACTACACTCATTTCTTCCATTCCCTCTTCCTCACAGATACTGAATATCAATTTAAACCCAGCACTGTGCAAGGAGTTTCCTATTTCCAAACACTTCTTGAAACCACCAAAACAACTTGATACCTTGAAAGGAGATACTCTAGGGGAGACAATGCACAAATTCAAGGAGATCTCTAGGGGAGACAATGCACAAATTCAAGGAGATCTCTAGGGGAGACAATGCACAAATCCAAAGCATTTCTTGTCTTCCCTTTCCCATTGCACAACCAACAAAGACTTTTCAACTGCAGTTACTCCTGCGATGCTTTGAAGGCGTGCAGCGTTCAATGCTGCACTTTAAGGCAAAGAACTGTTAAAAACAAGTGTAAAAATCAGTTTTCAGTAAGAGGTTGCCAAGCTTGCCCTGAGGGTGTGTGCTTACCCGAAGTAGGTGCCATCCCTGTCGATGAAGTACCTGCCCTCGGCGTCCGTGGGGATGTAGTGCCTGCCGCTGAACATGGCTGCCAGCATGGTGTCCTCGTACCTGCGCAGCGTGGACAGTCTGGTGGTGAAGAACATCCCCCCCACGTTCAGTGGGACAACTTCTGGGAACTGCAAAGGCAACCAGGACATCAGAAAGGAGCTGCCAGTCCTCTGCAGGTGACAGCACAGCTTTCAAAAGGCACTTGCAGTTTGCCACCGGGACAATGTGTGGTTCCTGCCCGGCTGCCACAGATCAGGGAGCTCTGAGGGGTGAAAATTGGGATGCTTTGGATGCTGGGAGGAATCAGGGAGTGGTTTAATTGCAGCTGGGAATCTGAAACAGCAGAAATCACTCAGCTGGAATGGCAGATATTTGAGATATTAATGCCTCCTCTTGGCTCTTTTGGGGAAAGGAAATAACAAAACAAAACTCCAGCCTTATACAGAGAGGGAGAGAAAAAAAAAGGGAAGAAATCTCAGGTCAACCTTAGGACTTGCACACTGCTGGTTCCTTTACACAACCAGACTATACTATACACTGAAAAAAAAATTGCATTTGTTTACATCAGGCCTCAAATCTTACTATCACACCTCAGGCTGCCTTAAGTACCAGAATAAACACTTGATTGCATGTCTCAAGTCCAAACCTGGACGGAGCTTGTAAGTAAAGCTGCCGAGCTACTCAAATACATTCCAGAGACTGAGTTTTATTCAAACGTGTTAAGCGAGCTGAGTATCCACAAGGAAATGCCGAATTCTCCAGCACCTGAGCAGTCTGTGCTGCCGCGGTCATGCCGGTCTCAGGTGAGCTCTTACCTGCTGGGGCAGCAGAGGTAGCGCTTGTCCTGCCTGGGTGGCGGTGGGAGTGGCCGGCTCTTGGAAATCATCCTCTGCATCCGAGCTCGACATGGCATCATCCGGGGTGGCACTCACTTTGTTCTGCCCCGTGACTACCACCATCCCTCTGGCTCTGGGGAGCAGCTCTGCCGGGTAGGAGGCCGTGGCAGTGCTGAAGGGAGACCCAAATTAATCACCCCAATTACCCCAATGGCCGGCGCGCTCCCCGCAGCGCTGCCAGCAGCAGCAGCGTTATTCCCGGGAGGAGGAGGAGGAGCAGGGATGCCAGGCACCCCCGGGCAGGGCTGCGGGCAGGAATGCCGCTGGCACAGCTGCTCCAAGGCCCTCCAGCCGCGGAGCCGCTGGCAGGGGCTGGAAGAGCCCGGCATCCATTGGCTGCGCGGTGCAGGGAGCGATTGGCTCCGGCGCGGCTTTGCAGGAAAATGTCATTTGCTGGGAGAATTTGGGTGGCCGCTGTCCCAGCCTGTCCCTCGCCAGGGGCGGGATGCAGGAACACGGCCCTGCCAGGGGCGGGATGCAGGAACACGGCCCTGCCACATTGGCGACGCCCGGCTCCGTCTGTCACCTTCAGCCGCGCGCCGGCAGCGGGGACGGGCACGGGCACGGGCAGGGCTCGGCCGGGCTCTGGAATTCCCTGGGAAATGGGAAAACCGGGATTTCTCAGCAGCCGGGAAAGCAGGCGGTTCCCTGCCCGCTGCATCGCATCACGGCACACACGGACGCGCAAGTGAGACACGAATAATTAACTCCCCTCAGCACGCTGCTAATTATCAGCTGCGTTTAACACCTCCAAGGCGCCTCAGTCCATCCTCAAGGGGAGAATGGGATGCGCTGACAAACTGCACGATAAAAATAACAACTGAGAGAGAAGCCCGCTGCTCCCCTTACACTGCGTTATGTAAAATCCCCGTTCCCAGGGTGTCTCCAGCAGCACCGCAACTCCCTAACAAAGACATTCCACCTCCAGAGGCTTTACCCACCTCCAAACCTTCCCTCAAACCACCATAAAATATAGAAAGGGGAGGATTATTTGCACAAGCACATCTGGCATGTTTATTTATTAACTAAAGGATGCTTCCCCTCAAAACCAGCAAGAAAAAAAGACACAAAATTTGAAAGTCTGCCTTAATAATGCTGCCAACAGTGATTGTGCACACTGCTAGATCTCAGCTCTTATAGGAAATACTGAGATCAGAGTGAACCCAGACAGAGCTGGGATGCTCCTGAGCAAAACAGGTTCTGTATGGAGACCTGATCAGACCAAAATCTCCACATTCTGTGGGAGTGTCCACAGCCTCCTTGCCCTAAAATTTGGAGATGAATTCTAGATCCTGTTTAACCCCCTAATAAATATAGATGAGTAGCTACTGTGAAGTTCCAAACATCATTAAGAGGGTTGGCTCAGCTCAGAGAGGGATTTAATTTCTCTTCTCTACAGTTCATAATCATTTTTCCACCTCAGTCCAGTGCACAGGCAGATAAATAAGGATGGAAGTGCTTCTGAAGGGCCACACCCTATTACCAATTTTAATGTTTGTCCTAAAACAACGTTTATTCTGACATCATTAGATATCCAAACAACTCAACTATGCCTCACAGGTATAGTTTAGATATATATATAGATATATAATAGACAAAATATAAATGAAAGATTATTTAGCTAGGGATTCCTTTAAGGACATAAACAAATTATCAGCCAGAAATGTTTGCAGGCCAGCATTTATAAGATGCACAGTCAAAAATTGGGGGTGAGCCTGTATTTACTGTGAAAGTATTATTTATAAAGATGTCACCTGACACCAGTGCTTTGGCTGCTATTTCTAGTTCTCTTTAAAGTACTCAAAAAGAACACAAGAATGAGCAAAAATGTGTTCTTTGTCTGCATTTTTCAAGGATGTCCCATAGATTTCACTAAATGGAGTTTAGTGTGAATAAACAACATTCACTCCATTAACTGTATCAGCATTATTGACCACAGGATGGGTTTTTGGGGTAAGTTCATCCATTTGGCACTGCATCAAAAAGGGCCAGTTTCCTAAGGGAGGTAGAGGCCTGAGAAAAAGAGATTTTTCTCCCTCTTTCATGATCTCCTTCAATATGACACCAAGGTTTAAGAAAAAAAGCCATGAGAGCATGAATTATGTTGTGCTCAGGATACCAACCTCCTCTGCCATTGGAACATCCACACAGAACAACGCCTCAAAAATGAGGTTTAGGCCATCATGAGAGCAGGATTTTGAGAACAAGCTCAGTGGCAATAAAAAGATCAATGACTGACAAGTGGAACCTGTTTTTTGACGTTCATGAAAAGGTGAGTGCAGTCCCTCTCTAGGCTGGCTTCACCTGTTCACCCAGGGAGCAGTGAAACAGAGCTGTGCTGACAGGAGCAGAGTCCTCCTGAAAGAAAACCAGAAGTTAATCTCTGCATTTCATGAAGAAAACACATCCAGCTGAATCCCAGAACAGTTTGGGTTGAGCTGGACCTTAAGGATCATCCAGTTCCAGCCCCCTGCCATGTCCACAGACCAGGCTGCTCCAAGCCCCATCCAAACCTGGAATGATCTTTTTCTTTTCACTCAAAGCACCTGCAATAATTATTTTTAACTATGTGTAGAAATATTCCCTTCTTAAGTCTCTCATTAAATTTACAGAATTTATTTATTTAAACTAAGCAAGTACTGCCATTTCACCTTCAAATACATCTAGGTCTAGATCAACAGAAAACACCAGCAATAAATAAAATTGTCATTAAATCAAATATCACATCAGCAGCATCCAATTCTACCAGAAATGTGTCCTTCCAGTCCTTCCACCTGTCATTTAAAAGCAGGGATTACTTCCTGGAGCTTTGCTGGGGACAGCTCAGATGTTGTTCCACACACAGAAAGCTGAGTAACTGAGCTGGCCCTGCCAGTTTGGCTTCATTCCCCAGAGAATGACAGCAACCCTTGAATTGGGCTTGATGCTGAGATTTAGAAAAGCTTTTCAAGGCTCTGTTGTTGTCTCAACTTCTCCATATTGGTTTAAACAACTTCTTCTTAAGTACCTTCTGAGGTTGCACCAGTGCTGGCAAAGTTACAAACCCCAAAAAAGTTACATACCAATGAAAAATGAGATGATGGTTATACAGTCAAAGGTTTTCTATCGAGGTTCAGATGTATGAACCCATTGTGGGAGTCCCACACCAACTCCTGTTCAAAGGTAACTCTTTGGGATGTGTTTTCTTTGGGAGATACCAACTGGAATGTTAGAAGGCTCCCCCTTTTTAAAGAGAAACTGGGGTAGAATGAGACCTGATTTAGCAGTGTCTGCATCCCCAACTTCCAGAGACACAGATGATTGTAAGGTTTGTGTGAACACAGAGGGAAATGACACAACATCCAGTAAATTCCAATGAATCTGTGTCAGAGCAGCAAAGAAACACAAAGAGGGGCAATAAACTGTGTTACACATTGGCCTGGAGAATCCTGGACTGTAAAATCCCAGCATCTCTAGTCATAAACAACAACGATGAAAGGGCAGTGTAACCCAGCTTTGCAGCCGAGAGCAAGGACAGGGTGTGTGGATGGGCAGAATGGGACTCTCCATCCCAGTGACCCCGCAGGACAGCAGGGACACCTGGCAGGGGCTGGAGTGACCGGGGTAAAGGACACCGGGGCTGGCACTGCCCCTCATGGAATCCCACTGCTTTCAGGACACCGGGGCTGGCACTGCCCCTCATGGAAGCCCACTGCTTTCAGGACACCGGGGCTGGCACTGCCCCTCATGGAAGCCCACTGCTTTCAGGACACCGGGGCTGGCACTGCCCCTCATGGAAGCCCACTGCTTTCAGGACACCGGGGCTGGCACTGCCCCTCATGGAAGCCCACTGCTTTCAGGACACCGGGGCTGGCACTGTCCCTCATGGAATCCCACTGCTTTCAGGACACCGGGGCTGGCACTGTCCCTCATGGAATCCCACAGCTCTGAGGACACCGGGGCTGCTCTCACTGCTGCTGGCACTGCCCCTCATGGAATCCCACAGCTCTCAGAGCTCGGAGCCGTCTGACAGCTCTGAGGAGCACAGGCATCACCACAACGCCTGGATGGAGCAGCACAAACCCAGGCGGCGGGCACGCCAACAGCCAGGCAAATAACCAATCATTCATTAATAATTAATTAACTCTCACCTCGCCAGGGTGACAGCCTGACTGGCACCCCGCTCGAGAGGGGCTGCCCCGGCCGCGCTCCCTCCGCTCCCCTCACCCCTCCAGCCCCGCGGCCTCCCCGCCGCTCCCTCACCTGCCGCGGGTCGGTAGCGGAGCCCGGCCGCGGGGAAATTCCCGCCGGGGATGGAGGGGATGAGGGAGGGCTGAGGGGACGGCCCGGCTGTCCCCGCCCTTGCTCACCTGCTGCCCGCCCGCGGCTGCGGCTGCGCTCCGGCCCGGCCCGGGGGAGCGGCCGCGCCCCCGCGTCACGTACGGGCCCATCCGGGTCCCGGCGGGAGGAGCCGCCCCGGCGGCAGCTCCGGGGGCTCCGGGGCGATCCCCCAGCGCCCGGCGGCTCCCGGGAAACGCCCGGCGGTGTCGGCGGGGCCAAGGAGCGGCCTCGGGAGCGGCGGGGCCGCGCTGCCCTCAGCCGGCGGCAGGGGAGGCCCGGAGCGCGGGGGGAAGGAGCGCGGAGATCGCCCTCCTCACGGCACGGAGGGTTTGTCATCACACACATTTAAAATGAGAAACGGAGGGAAAGCAGAACTCCGTCAGATCCACAGGCCGGGGAAATACAAATGTCTCAAAAGCAGTGGGGAAGGTTGAAACCGCCCTCATCGCCTCGAACCAGCGAGGGGAGCAGGATCTGAGCCGCAACAACATCCCAAAAATAACTTACGGAAATATTCACGTTCCACGTTGTACCCTAAAGATCCAAGCTTTAGGGTACAGCTCACAGCAGCAGCTTCCTCCCAGCAGAGCATCTCTGAACAAAATTGCTGTTAAGGAACAAATTCAGGAGTCTAAAATTACCTACTTCTACCTGCACCAAACAAACCTCACGTTACACCTCAGTGGGACACTCCAATTTAGTATTTCTTCATCACCCAGCTATTAAAAGCACACAAAAAGCATTAAATTGCAAACCTTAAAATAAAATCCAAAGCCAGGACATGAGATCATATCTTCCCTCACATCATGTCTTGAATTATAACTAACACATCAATATCTTGAATTATTTAAATATTAAGTAGGAAACAAGACAATTAAGAAATAAATAAACAAAAATCACATTTAAAGCATTTATTTTGAAAAATAAAATACAAAAGATCATTGAATTGTAAATTGTACATGTAATTTATCAACTTTTTTTTCTTTTTAAATAAAAGATATTTAACATTTTTCACATATGAATAAAACAAACAACTTTTCCACCAAGAATCTTTTAGGACAAGCACAGACCACTCTTGAAAGCTTTGTACATTTAAAACCAAACTGCTACAAGAAACAAAAAAATCTGAAGATGGAGCCCTGTAATTAAAACAGAAGAGCAATTTCAGAGACAGGCATTGCTTTTGCACTTTTTAAAACCTTAAAAAAATAGTTGTGCGAATGTAAAGCAGTTCTACATTAACATCAGTGATTTTTTTTGTTGTTTTTTAACAGGTTTACATGCGCTCACAACAGCAAAATTTGGAACAAAACCAGGATGAAAGCAAGAGGAGAGAACATTCTGAGCAGAGCAGGCCATGAGCAGCACACCTCTGAGCCAGGGGGACAGGCCTGAGGGGTCATTCCCATGGAAAAGGCAGCAGCTGATCTTCTAGGGAAAAAAGAAATAAAGTTATGTTGGAGTTTTGCTGGTAACATTCAGCTTTTTATCCAGGACGGGCTTTTGGAATGACAAATAATGCAGAATTAAGGTAGCCACTGTTGTGTCAGCAGGTGCAAAGCCACTGCCAGGACAAATCCCATTCCTGTAGGGATGGGGCTGCTGTGTGCCTCCTTTATCATTAGAGACTGCTTGCAGCATGGTGCAAACAAAATATATTGATGTTCCACTTCCATCCCAAAGCCTTGTGAGCCAGTGGGAAGTTGTGCTGGGAAGTTCCCAGTTGGGTTTCTCAGAAACTGGGCAGCAGCTTCAGACAGAAATGTTGCAGGTTGGAATCCATTTTTCAGAGCTAAATGCTTTCAGAGGTTGATGCTTTGGTTATTTTAAATTGGCTGTGTGAACAGATGATGGTTTCTCTATTGATTTCACAGTGAAGGTCTGTAATTCATCTCTGGGAAGATTTTAGAGCCATTATTTCTACACAGAGCAGTGCTTTTGGCTATATTTGGGGTGTTTATATTTATGGCCACGCAAGGATCTATTCTGGGGATATTTGTAGGGCATATTGCTTTGGGCTATTTTTAAACTGGATTTAAATTTTGCCATCTTTTGTTGTCAGGCCAGAACATCTGATAGCAGAAAAGCCCTGGATTAACACAGGAAATCTTGCATCACTCATTCCTTAACTAGTCTGGAATTTACTCAGCTCCCTGTAATTTTGTCACTGTTTATTCAGTGACTAAAATGCAGCTTTTTGAAAATACTGGCTATGAGATGATAAATCAAATATCACAAACCAGGTCATCTGTAGCAACTTCCTTTAAAAAACACATCTTCATATTTATCTTACCCATGGAGTTACAGAAGTTAAACAAAAATCATCTTGAGAACAACAAATGAGCAGAACTGAAACACTCTTTTATTACCTTCTGTGCAAGAAATGTCCATTTTATCTTCTATTCCATAGGTTCAGTCTGTCAAAAAAAGAAAAATTAAATTAGCTATTTTACATTAGAGGACAAAAATATCAGTACCAATGTCTGTTCTCCAAACCTTTGAGCTTTTAAATTACTTTATGTTAATATTAAAGAGAACACTATCTGCATCAATTTGATCAGGTTTTTATGGTTCAAGGAATATTCTTTTACTCTTCCATAGTGCTTATTTTTGTCTTTTGGATGGTCTGTCTTTGCTATGGGTAAATCTGCTCAGATTTTGGCAAATACTGTATTTAAACCAAGCTAATTGTATAAATTCACCTCCTGGCATTTAGCAGGAACCTCCCTATCCTATGGAGTGAAGAAGGAACTTATCAGGCAGAGTGGCCCAGGTTCTTCTGGGTACCCCAGGATAACTGAAAACCACAAACAGCATAATTTAACTGACACTGTATGCAAACAAGGATTTAAAGGATTTAACCCAGGATTTATTCAAAATCAAGGATATTTTTGCTAGCACACCATCTACACACGGTGTGCTCAATTCTGAAGGATCTCCCTGCCTTTTCCATAAATCCCTCTCAGCATTATTTCCCCTCCTGGTAAGGCACACCCCATCCCTGCAGCTTTATTGGGGCTAATCCTGCAATCCCACCAGCAATCCCCCGTGGAAGTGACCCCAGCAGGCTCCTGTGAGTTCAGCAGCACACATGGAGCAGACACTCAGTGACAGGGACAATGCTGGCAGCAACAGGGCTGGGATGGTTCTCCAGAGCTGAGCAAAGCAGGAGCACTGAGTGATCCAAGCAGGCAAAGAGCCAGGGAAAAGCCAAGCCCACGTTAGAGATCACACAAAGGCTGCTCAGAAAGGTTTGGTGGCCACAGCAGGGTTATTTTCTGAAAACATGAAACACACACTACAGCTATGCCACTTCACTGCTCCACGTTCATTTTATCTTGCCACGAGACCGCCTTTCTACTGTCTTCTTTGGCTGGAACAAAAGAAATCAGTTTTCCTTTTTAATCAAATCATTTTTATTCGAACAAATTGAGAAGTCAAAATGCTTTGTCTGTGGTAGATTCCTGGGTTTTTTTAACCTGCCCCATCCCTGGCAGTGTCCAAGGCCAGGTTGGACAGGGCTTGGAGCAACCTGGGATAGTGGAAGGTGTCCTTGCCCATGGCAGGGGGTGGAAAAAAATTATTTTTAAGGTCCTTCAACCCAACCCATTCTGGGATTTTACAGTTCTGTGATACCCACAAGATCCTACAGTTTGAGAGTTTCACAAAAAGGGCTTTTTTTTTTTTTTTTTGCAGGTCCCTTAAGGAGCTGATGACAAAGAACAGCATTTGGGGGGTACCAAATTGTGAATTTTCAGTAAAACCTGAAGTTCCATAGCACACTTAACTATTAAATCAACACCACCCCTATCTATCTGACTTTGGTAACATCTCTATTTATTTTTA